ATGCATTTCTTTTGATCAAATATTTGTCGCGTCTCTTCTTTTTGCCGAAGAAAGTGCAGTTCGCGCCGTCTTTCTTCACCTTTTGGTTGGCGTCATGAGTGGCCCGCCATTCGACCAGTTCTGGTGATGGCATGAGTCCGGCCGACCCTTTGTCGCCCTCTTTCCTCGATTGCCACCAATAGTAGTCGTCTTTGCAAATCACTTCCAGAATATCTCCCGTATTGAATGTAAGCCCCGCCTCAACACTAGGTATCAGTTCATCGTCTTTGGGATTGTAATCGAATTGTGCCCTAAAGTAGGACTGAAAGGGATTCGCGTGTTATGTCATTATTACAACTTTTATGCACACTTATTATGACATTTTTTGGAAAGAAACTTGTTTGAAAAGATTAAGTTAAATTAAATAATTAACTAGTTAAATCTAACCTAACCTAAACTAACTCATATTAACTTAATTAATAATATAATATTAGTATTAGCAATTTGTATTAATTTAATATGCATAAAGTAAATTAAAATTAATTTTTTCAAAAAAGAGTCTAAATTACAAACGATTATAAACACAATTATAAAATAAATGTTGAAAGTATACCTCGCAGTGTGAGGAATGATTTCGTTGTCTACCATTAGGCAGTATTTTAAATGAGAACACATTTCCTTTAGAGTCTCTCTGTTAAATAAATGTATCATAAATGTACCATGGTCCATGACTGTAATCATTGGTCAACAACTATGTTATGTCTCATTTAATATTACTAACCAATAGAGTTTGTAAGCTCTCAACCGATTGATTAGAGACAGGAATCCCATTAATTTCACGGATCACATCACCGACATGTAGAGTACCTGTCAATACAGACCAAGCATTGAGTTAATGTGTGTAAAACTAATGATCGTATACCCTGTCTGTCGACGAGTCCGCCCAACATCACCCGTGAGACCACACATCGGCCCCACTCGTCGAGCTTAAGTGTGATACCCATCGGTTCGTTGGATGTCTTCTGGAACTGAACCAATCGAAGAGGACTAATATTATCGTCGATCTCATGACTTGAGATACTATTTTCCAATTGATTTGAATCACTGGAACAATCATATGTGGACTCATTTACAAGTATTTCTGATATCATATCTTGTGTTCGGAGTAACGCCTGAATTGTAAATATAATGTTTTTTACCATTAAATCAATATAAGAAAACTTTTAATAAGAAACCTGAATATACGGCGAAAATAAAATGCTTAATAATTCGGAAACCGTTGTGTCAGAAGTGGCTAAAAGTGGAAGACTTTTCAATATATTTAAAACCTAAGAAAAGTCAAAGAATTAATGAATTATAAAATTTATAAACAGTTTTAAAAACCTCTTCAAATGTCTCGAAGGCACTCAATTCAGGAATAGATAGTTTCCACTCCTTTATTGATTTAGATATAAAGTCAAAAATCTATTCAAATGACAAAACAATTAAATATATTATAATATTAGTAAACATTAGAATAATTAAATTAATTAATTAAAATAAATTAATATACTTTGAGGAATTTATTAAATTTTACATCGTTTAATATTAAATCCATAATAAAATCCTGCCGTGAATTCATGCTTGAAATGCTAATTATTTTGTCCAAACATTCAAACACATCGCTTACACCAACTGTTAAATTGATAAATAAATTTAATTTAATTTATTTATAATTAATAAATATTGAGTACCAAAGAGAGGGTTTTCTTTGTCTTCAAATTTAAAGTTCATGTTTTGATCAAATTTTTCAGTGAAACAAATGAAGGAAATATTTTTCTATTATAAGATAAGTCTCATTAGTAAAGAGTACTTTATTTAATATAAAGATAAATGAATGCTTTGTTTACTTTAAGTATACTTATTGTGTTATATCTTCTCATTTCTTCAATTGTGTTCACGAGATGTGCTTTTCGTGTGAATAACTCTTTTTGCTATTCAATTGGATTAATAATTTAGTATTAATTATAATAATAGGTATGCCATTAGGGACTAACAGAAAGCCATTTATGATCTAGCACATCCTGAGCAGTGATTCGTGCATTTGGATTGGGTTTAAGCATTTTGAGCACCAGTTCTTTGGCGATATCACTTATACTGTTCCATATCTTCTCCTCAATCTATTAATAATATTGTCAATTAATTTGTTGTTATCAATACATATGTCATAAATACTGAGAAGAAATCGATTTGTGGGTCAAAGTGTAGGGAAGAGCCGCACAGAAGTGTGAGCAGTAATATTCCGCAGCTGTAAATATCTGAGCTTTTTGTGAACAATGCTTTTTCTTCGCTTAATTCCGGAGCCAAATAAGGGTTTGACAGAGAATTGAATAAATTGTTTTGTGTGTAATATTGAACAGGACTTCGTTGAAAGTAATGCTGGACTAGAGTGCGGCCAAACCCGCATAACTTGATCGGAGCGCCACTACTATTAGTAGCCATTAAGATGTTTTCAGCTTTGATATTGCCGTGAATTATATCGGACTTATGGCAGTACTCTATGGCCTCCATTACTTGGTTCATATAATAACTGCAATAAATTTTGATTACATTTGCTATTTGTTGTTTAAAACGACATACGATTTAAAGCGATACACATTTATACGCATAATATACTAACTCTAATATCACGATATATTAAACTTTTGAAAGCAACGTAAATATTTGACAAAATTCATTCAAAACAAATCACAACTTACAGTATATTATACTTTTATATACAGTATTGTATATTTATATGAATTACATAAATAAATGATAAGAATATTTATTTCATGATTTGATTTATACGATTAAAATCTAAGAGAACTCATCAATAAGTAATAAAAGCTTTCATATAAATCATACAACTATTGAAATTTTGTTCATTTAATATCATTGAAAAGCATGAATGTAACTGAAAATTGTCGAATATTTTATACAAATATTTATAATATATTTTTTGCACAATGACAAGAAATTGCAATAAACAGCTTATATACAACAGCAAACAACACAATGCATGATACTATACGAGCATATATTTTAAATTATATCCCACTATAAATATTTGTAAAAATGTATTTACAGAAACTAATGTAACAATATTTTCAATATCCAATACCTGATGACATTCTCACTGTAAACATATCCAGCGTTTGCTCTGTTGACGATCTCAACCAATAGATTATTGCCGTCAATACTATTTTAATGTTTCAATACATTATATGAATATTTTTGTCGGTCAAAAAAGTTGAGCAATAAATAAAGGTTTATTTGAATTGAATTAAACTTACAATTCGTAGACAAGGCATACAATTTTGTTGGAGAGTACGTATGACTCGTATATCTGTGCGATGTGTTTGTGAACCACTTTCTCATAGCATTGACACTCGTCTCGCATTACTTTCAATGAATGTATTGATTGTGAAAAGTATACTAATTGTGCCTAAAGTGTGGTATATATATTGATTTCGCATACCTGTGCCCAAAGACAAGTTGTCGTCGAATGAGAACTTTGAGTAATCAATGATTTTGACCACAAATTTGTCGCACTTATACTTATTAGTGCAGCGATAGATACAACTGAATCGACCCCTGAATGCATATATATTTACATTATTAGTGATTATTGGCTTTGAATTGAATTGAAATTTATAGATATAATTGAAAGAAATGTTTCATACGTTTTGATGCATAAATCCAACCGATATTTATCATCAAAAGGCGTCGATTCGTCGATCACTCGACTCATTGTAATTGTATTTATTGAGGAACTGATGTCTCGGCCGCCGATTGGACACACCTTTTGCTCCCAAAACTCATTAATTGAATAAACATTTATATATAATCTTATTATTCATAGATATTGTAAACACTTAACCAACAAATGTGTGAATCATTTCAAATCATACTTTACTTCACATATTCTTTAGCACAGAATCGATAGAATCACACGTTTTGCTCAGAAATTACGTTACGATCAAACATTTGCTTCAATCAGAAATTCTTGTTTTAGTTATTTTACATTTTATAACTATTTGTCACATTAATTATTGATACAAAATATCTGTAATGTAGGAGTTTAATTCTTAATATATTAAAATATAATAAATTGGAGTTTTAATTATTTATCAAACATATTATACTGTATTGTACTGTTTTGGAAAATTATTATTATTGTATATCTTTAGCATGTAGATTTTATACTATTAAATTGTATTTATAGTTAGAACATAACATTTTAAACAAGTTAAGATAAGTTTTAGTATTTTTTCGTAAATAGAATACAAATGTAATTATGATATGTTATATAATATTCAAATTTTAAATTAAAATAAATTGTTTTATTAATTGAATTGCTTTGAATAGTTTAAACAATTGTTATAATAATTATTCATTAGTTTTAACATATCATTCATACGGTATGACTAATTTTAATACTAAATTATTAATATCTCTTTTAGCTTTATTAGATAATCAAATAAAGTAATTGCATTTTTATCATTTTTAACCACAATTCAGTTATGAATAA